TAAAAGTCGAAGGTCCCATCGCAGGCCCAGGGTGGGAGTGTATCCCTCCTGCATCCTCCTGGCTCTGCTGGCTGCTGGCAGAGCTTGGCACACAGGCCTCGGGAAGAGAGTTCATAATGTCCAAGGTATCAGGGTTCAAAGGCCAACATTTTTTTTGTTGATCTTTAAAAGCTGCAGCCAAGGCCCTGGTGGTGGTGGCACATGCCCCTTTAATCTCGGCGCTTGGGAGGCAGAGGCAGGCGGATCTCTGAGTTTGAGGCCAGGCTGGTCTACACAGTAAGTTCTAGGATGGTCAGGGCTACCCAGAGAAACCCTGTCTAAAAAAACAAAAAAACAAACAAACAAAAAAAAAGCAAACAAATGAATGAATGTATGAATCTGCAGCCAGAGATGGGCTAGAGGCAGTTCAGCCCCAGGCTTGGCTCTGTCCTCTAGGCGGTCTGGCCAAGGTTGTCAACACTCACACCCTCCAAGGAGCTCCCCCTTCTATCAGCCACATGCCCGCTTTTCTATTCCTGCCCCTGCGTCTTCCATAGGAGAGGCACGGCAACGCGAAGCCGGCCGGTGACGGGAAGACCTCAGAACAGCGCCAGCACCTTCTAAGGGGCTGTTGCACATCACTGTCATCATCCTGAGCCCTGGTGGTGTTGTCCCCTCTCTCCGGTCTCCATCAGCATCCGCACATGAGATCCCAGCTGAACAATCATCATTAACACAGTGAGCGAGTTTTGTTGCCAGCCAGACGGCTCTGCTCCCGGAGGCTCACTCTGTCCCATGCCACAGCAGGTGTCAGAGGCCATCGGGCAGGGACACCCACCCAATCGCTGGGGCTGACCACCAAGAGTGTCTTGTGGCATGCCAGTGCCTTTGACTCTCTCCATCTGAAGGTCAAGCACTCATGGCAGGAGCTCAGTAACCCCACTGGTAGATAACTACACGACAAGCTAGCCAAACACAGCCATCTCCCTTGACCGTTGAGAAGGGAGCAGAGGGGGAGGCAGTGGAGCCAGAACATCACACAGGCTGCCCAGCTCCTGAAGGCTGGGCCCACTGTCTCCCTGCTCCGGCCATTAAGGGCTGCGGGGGTGGATGGCAGTGGCCTTCCTTTCCTTGGTCATCCTGCATCCACCTTGGCCATCACCAGCCTTCAAACAGGAGTGTTGAATGAACAAATGGACACAGTTGTCATTTCTTTCCATCAGGTGCTTCCAATTCTCATTGAACTTGAGCTGAGCACCCTCCAAGGCCCCTCCAGCACCTTCCCTCCTGCTGGAGCAGTCAGTCTGCTCTCTTGACGAGGTCTTGAGCCAGGTATGGAGACAGTCTTGAGAGTGTTGACGACTTGTTTGCACCCTCCACGGTCACCCCTTCCCCATGAGGCTGAGGCTTCTGCAGACACTCCAGCCCCAGGGACAGCACCTATCACGTACCTACACCTGTGAGGCCCCGGGCACAGAGGGGCGGGGAAGCTGGCCTCTCCACCAGCTGCTCTCTCCCCTCAGCACCCTGGTTTCCTGGAATCAAGGGTGCCTCCTGGCATCCTGCGCCCCAGGTCTCAAGCGGGCCCGCTTCCTGCTTTGCTTTCTCAAGGCCCCCAGTGGGTGTGTCCCATCCCTGGTGTCGGAAAATGTCAGCGGAGGGGCTGTCCCAGGGCTGACATGGCTGGGGGGGGGGTTCAGGCTCAGAGCTTCTGGTGAGCTTAAGTTTCATCAACACCCTCCCCTCGGCACTAAACTCTCGGCTTCAGGGCACGTGGCAGCATCCTCTTAGGTCTGTGGCTCTTCCCTTAGTAGGCTCGTGTCAGATGGTCTGAGAGACTCGCTGGAGCATGCTTGAAAGAGTGTTGGCAGCCTGGGCTGGTGGCAGTGTCACGGAGCACCCAGGTGGCAGCCTCGAATGTCACCCGGGCTCACATCCTTTCTCCACAGTGTTCTAGCTGTGTGACCTGGAGTGAGTCATCCAATCACTCTGAGTTCAAATCTCATCTGTAAAATGGGAATGAAAGCAAACAGACAGACAAAAAAAGCAACACCACAGGGCACGTGTGCGAGGCTGCAGGGCATTAATGATGCAACACTTGGAGCAGAAGAATCGCCCCAACTCAAGAGGAGGAGCTCAGGGGGCCTCCCAGAAGTGGGAGTTCTTGAATGGGGTTCTGAGGGATCTTTAGGAGTCTGTGAGTGCACTGCTTGAGTATAGGGCTGCTTCGACCTTAGAGATCAGCACATGACAACAGAAACCAGTTATTTCTAGTTTCTCTCTGCAGCTACCCCAACCCCAGCCTCCAACGCTGGAAGCGACAGACATGGCCCCAGCCTCGCGCCACCTTTCAGGTGGCACCTGGAGCTGGAGCCTGAGCACTGAGGAAGTGTTAAAAGCAGTCTAGTATGGACGGCCAGAGCACCAATGGGCACAGGGGCCATGGAGCGGAGGGGAGTCCCCAGGGTCACAGATCAAGGACCCAGCCTTATCCCGGTGACAGTAGGGTGTCTCTGGAGTCAAACCAGCATGTGGCTCTGAGTGACACCATCCTGGGAGGGCCCGGGGTGGAAGGTTTCGCTCCCAACCCTCAGCTCCACGCAGGGACAGCTATGAGCATTAGCTACCCAAGGCAAAGCTGTTTGAAGGAAAACAAAACAAAGCTGTGGATTCTTCCTTTTTAACTCGACCGTGCGGCGGGCTCTAAGTGCGGAATCTGTGGATGGCGTCCCGTTGCAGTGCCAAGATGGACATGCCTGGTTATGGAAACAGGTGGCCATGGAGGAGGCTGAGCAGGGCGGAGGCAGGAGGTGCTGGGGCCTGGACCGGGGGATGACTGGAGCGCCAGGTGGGAAGCAGTAGGCAGAGCGGGGAGCTCGAGGCCACCCCACCTGACCGTCAGCCACGTTCTCAGTCCCGTGTCCCGGCCAGCGGGGCTGTGAGAAGGGCTCCTCCTCCTCCTCCCACAGTGTGGTGGGTATCGCTTCTTTTTTCTTTGAGGTTGGCTACCCGGAGGCTGAGAAAACCGGGGCTTCCTGGTTTTCTGCCTTTGAGAGGTGTCTCTTGGCACTCAGAAAGCCACAGGAAGCACAGAATCTAAGCCTTGCCCACTAGTGGCTATTCTTCTCAACTATCCCGAGCCTCGGTTTCCTCATCTGCAAAGTGGGAAGCAAACGCCCGCCTCTCTGGGCCACGAGAAGTGATATGCTTTTGGGTGGGGACAGAGGGAGCTGGCTGGCTTGCATTTATTTGTTCCTTCATTCAAATTCATTTATTTATTCAATTACATTTGTCCAAATTTATTTACTTAGATTTATTTGTTTATTTTGGAACAGAGGCTTCTCATGTAGCCCAGACTGACCTGGAACTCACTATATGTAGCAGGCTACCTTCAAACCTGAGATCCCCTGGCTTAGGCCCCCTCCCCGTGCCGGGGTTCAGGATCAAGCCATAGTACCTGCCTCCAATGTGCTTCAGTGTTTTGGTTTTACTTTCACTTTCCTGAGGTCTCTGATGACCGCCACACTCAGTAAGGCAGGGCTGGATTTTTGTCTTCAACTTGAACAAACTATTTCTCCTATAATCTGCCTGAAGACCTGGGCTCTGGAAGTTGCTTAGAGCAGAGATGCCACCTGGGGAATGAAGATATAGGCCAGGCTAACAAGGACACTGGAGAGGCCTGAAGCTCCTCCCCTTCCCTGAACCCGTAGGTGCTCCCAGATGCTTCCTGCTCCCCACTCTGCTTCTTGAGGCTCTCCGGAGCCTGGGCTGTGCCTGCTCTCCAGCTGGTGCCTTTCCCCTGAAATCTGAGCCTGGGAATCCTGGCACCCCCTTCCCTATTCTACCCTGCCAGCTGCTCCCTCCTGGCCCCTCTCCCAAGACCTCTGTAGGACACACAGTGGCGCTGGCCCATGGTTCCATCTCCGCCTGGCCTACGGTGGCTCCTTTCTGGTCTCTCACGGACATGGGGGACAGCTGGGCTTCCGGGCCTTGCTCACTGACATCCAGCCGCACCATCCCAGCATCTGCTCTCCCTGCCCAGAGAATCAGCCAGGGAAAGCGAAGAGCTCCTTTGTAGAAGGAAGCAGAGAGGCAGCGCGACCTGGATATGTCAGTAGGCGCCCGCTTTTATTAGTTGGGGTTGCCTCAGAAACAGTACTGCAGAATCTAAAAGCTGCATCCAGCCTTCTGTGGAAGGCAGTAATGGCTGCCATGCACAGGTGCAATTGGTTAGCAGTGTCTGCCGTGAATGAGTATAATCAACTATCAATGTCTGCCATGTATAGGTGCAATTGGTTAGCAATGTCTGCCATGAATGAGTATAATCAATTGGCAATGTCTGCCATGTATAGGTGCAATTGGTTAGCAATGTCTGCCATGAATGAGTATAATCTATTAGCAATGTCTGCCATGTATAGGTACAATTGATTAGCAATGTCTGCCGTGAATGAGTATAATCAACTATCAATGTCTGCCATGTATAGGTGCAATTGGTTAGCAGTGTCTGCCATGAATGAGTATAATCAATTAGCCATGTCTGTCACATGTGCAGCTTCATTGAATGCTAGAGATTGCTGACTATTGCTTCTCAAGACTCTGGAAAAGTCCTAATAGTTGGAAAGTGATCATTAAGATGATTACACACACACAGTTGAAAAGTGATAATTATAATTAAGATGTCTGCACACACACACACACACACACACACAGAGAGAGAGAGAGAGAGAGAGAGAGAGAGAGAGAGAGAGAGAGAGGTTGGAGCATATCTGCGCACAGAAACCTGATTCCTATAAATGACTAAGATGTTCTCAGCAGCCATGCTTTGTTCACCGAGGAAGTTTCTCTCAGTCTCCAGCAGCATCACCCTTCTAGACTGAGATATTAGACTTCCAACAGCACTGAGATAAGCACTATCCCACTGTATTCTGTTGCAGTGTCGGGGATGGAATCAGCTAGGCAGTGCTCTGCCACTAGGCTCCACCCCCAGATCAGATCCACACGTTACATAGTTTTATTGTACCTGCTTTTTACAATCATATTTTATTAATAGAAAGATTGGGTCTTCCAGCCACAGAAGCCATATGATGAAAAATCTTTAAATAAGTGTATTTAGAAAAAACCAATCAGTTTTAAAACTTCTCAGGAGAAATTACAAAGATGGCATACACAGATCTTTAAAAGAGAGAAAGCCAAATCCTCCCCACAACTCTTCAGACAGTAAAAATAAGTTCGATTCCAAAGTTTTACATTTGCCCAGGGTACACAGTCCAGAGTGTGGGTATAGAATTTGGGTCTGGTCCATGGTTGAGACAGAGGGGATGGCCACAGACAGCATTCTGTGGCAGGAGGGGATGGGTGGGGTTTCACACAGAAGGAAGCCGGCCTTCTGACCCCTGCCGGGCAGGAAAACTCTTGCATGAGCCCTGAAGGTCCTCTCTATCGCCTCATATCTTCTGGCTAAGCCTGGGGGCCTTGCTGCAAGCACCTGCTCTCAGGACATACGGTCAAGAGACAATCTGATTGTTAGATCAGGCCCAGCCTGTGGGCCTGTGGTCTGTCCAGACAACCAATGAGTAGTGAGCTGGAACCATGGGACAGGTAGGGCATCCGTTAGTTTTGAGTTTCTGCTTCCCTTAGGATGTGGGATCTATCCCTACGGTGCCATCAACCCTGGGACAGTGGCAGACACGGAGGCTCTGTGCTGGAGGAGCTGCCTGTGGAGAGCAATGCTCTCTTCTGAGGGTGAGACGGCACACCCAGGCATGCCATCCCTGCCTGGACTGCTGGGGCTCGGAGCTCACATTCCAGCAGGCTCCCTCACAAACTGGTGAGGTGGGCGTGGGTAGATCCAGCAGCCGCTGCTACGCCAGTATCTGTGTCCACACTGAACCTGTCACTGTGAGGTCAGGGAGTAACTCCAAAGAAGGAAGATAGGTCAGGAGCTGCCCCATCATCTCCTAGTATGGACTGGAGACATTTGGATGCATTAAGGAAGCAGCACCGCCCTTAGAAGCAGGGCTTACAGGACAAGATGAGGGGTGTTTGTCACCTAGGTGAGGACAACGGAATAGTGTCTGAATAGGTGTGAGTCAAGAGGGGACGCCAGGAGACCCCCTGGGATGCTTGTGAGGGTTCCACAAAGGGCAGTGCTGACACAATGCTTGCTGTGTGAGCCTTTTGAGGGGAGGGGGCACATGAACAAATATCTACTTCTCCCACATATGGCATGAAAGGCGTGAATCCACTCAAGTCCAGCTTGAAGAACCTTTGAGGCGTCTAGGCTTACTTACAGGAATAGAGGTGACTCCCAAACAGCTGTATCGCAGAAACCCGCCCCCAGAATAGGTGATGATGTCCCCATAGCCACATGGATGGAGCCCTCACGTCAGCCAATCCTCCCCCTTCTGCATATGCCAGCATCTTCCAGGAACACAGGACCAGGGGCAGAATATGCCAGCATCTTCCAGGAACACACGCACCAGGGGCGGAATTACACTTAGCTGGGATGGGGTGCAGGAGAGAGGCTGGGCTCTCCGGTGACAGTCTGATGACCCTTCCCATCCTCTCCTTCTATGAGGGAATGTCAGCAGTCAGCAGGCCACATCCAGTCTCTCAGTTTGGGCAGACACAGCTGTTCTGATTAAGACAGTGGCAGCCACATCACACCCTGAGGACAGCTGTCCCTCAGCAGCGCTGGCGGGACAAAAGTTGGGACAGGAAATGGTACAGAGGGCAGTAGGGAGCCACAGCAAGCTCAGTGATGGAAGAGGTACCGGCTGCCCTGTGATGGGGAGCAGGAGTGAGTACAGCAGGTCCAGGAAACCAGTGCCCTCATGGCTAAACAGGGAAGACGAGCTGACTACCCCTCCACACCCCAGGTCCTGGCTGGGCCAGGGAGCAGTAAGTGGAGCTCAGAAGTGTCGGGGTGCAGGTGACTAGGAACTGTCCTCAGCCGGCCCCCCTCAAGCCTGACCTGACCTAGGCAACTGGCTCCCAATCCTGGCCACCTGTCTATACCAGGTGGGCTGGATCTTGGGCCTGCAGTTCTTGAAGAGACAGGTAGGCATCCGTGTTGAGAGACAGGACAGAGGCCAGGGCCCTGTCCTGAGCTTGCCCACAAGGGCTATCTTCGGGGACATCGGCCTGTTCCCCTGAGCCATGAGCACACAGCCCCTCTCCATCACCTCCCAGCACCAGCTCCGGAGGGCACGGCGAGCCCATCAGGTCAGGGGATGGTAGCAGGGGCAGTTCCTCCTGAGGGGACAGGGGAGGCTTTTCTTCAGGGACTACAACCCCCCCAGAGGCAGAATCGGGGGAGCTCAGGCTGGGGGAGAAGAGCAGCATGTCATCCCTGGGTGGGAGTTCACAGTACTCATCCTCTTCCCCAGCCAGGGGCAGCAGAGACGGGAGGGGAGATCCCTGGGGCGGGCCTGGCCCGTCCTCCTCCACGTCCTCTTCCATGCAGGGGTCGTAGGTGAAGTACACTTGGCAGGGCTCAATCTCTAAGGCGTTGGGCAGATGGAAGAAGAAGTAGCCTTGGTTGGTAAAGCAGCTGGCCTGCGAGTGACCGCTGGGCGAGGGGGAGGGGGCTGTGTCCCGCTGTAGCAGCAACAGCTGCATGGCTTTGGTGTCTCCGTCCAGCACCTCCAGGGGAGAGATCTCAGGTGCAGAGCCAGTGGGGCTGAAGGAGGATGAGGGGAAGGGCGAGGAGAGCCATTTCTGCCAGAGGAAGGAAGGAGAGTAAGTGGGCCGCTCTGCCTCCTACTGTAGCACTGAACTCAATCCTTCCTCCTTCCCTTCCTCCCGCTCTCCATCCTGCAGCATCCTCCAGCCCTCCCCAACCTAGGCGCGACCTGCAGCCTTCCTGAACTAGGCCACATACTAGACCAGCACAGCCACAGTGCTGCTTTACGGGTGTGCGGGGATGTTGGCTTGGAGCGAGTAGAGCTGGCCTCTGAGCACCTGCTGTATACTTGGACTAGACTAGGTGTGAGGACACGGAAGGGACAGGGTCCCCACTGTCTTGTACGGAGTTAACCAGCCAACCGGCGTTTCTGAGGGCCCATCCCGCTCACGTCACAGGCAGCTGGCACCGCAAGGAACGAGTCTTGCCCGCAGTGATGGAGGACTGGTGGACCCCGGCTCGCCTCTCCCCATCATGGCCCGCACCCCCTTGCTATGACCTACATGGAGGTGGGGTAGGATTCATGACACCAGTGGCCAAGAACACGGGCCCTGGCCACAACACACAAGACAGCAGTCCTTGCTGACCCACAGCCAGACAAGGATTGCCTGCAACTGTCTATTGGTCAAGACCTCACCACAGTCAGGGCAGAGGGGTTTCAGAAAAAAACAAAAACAAAAACAAAAAAAAACAGCTTACGGAGCTATTCACCCCAACACACACACACATACCACACACACTCACACACACTCACGCATGCACACAATACACACATGCGCGCACACTCCAAGAGAACTATGATAAGACGTCCTCAGTTCTGGGAGTCTCTCAGAGATTCTAGAAGGGCCCTGCTCAGCCCTGATGGGGCCCACAAGGCCAACCCAGACGGACTAGGGCCTAGCCCCGGCATCCCCGTCTTAGCACAGCTCCCTAGACTCCTCCCCCCCCCACATATTTCTCAATCACAGGAACCCAGTCAGGCTGGAGGTAGTAACAGCAGATTGCACCCCACCCTTTACCCACCCCTTGCTTCTCGAAGCTTCTAGCCTGAATCAGGTAGACTAGAGAGAGGTGCTGCGACTGTGTGGGCCACACTTGGAAAACGAACCCAGGTGACCAGAGGACTTGCGTTACTGCGGCGAGTCACTGGACCCGCCAGGAATCGCTCTGCTCACAGGGACAGAAGCCACGAGGAGGCCTGCAGCTCTCTAGCACCCACACTGTGCCCGGCAACACTCACGGGGCCGTGCACGCAGTAAGGCGTACTTTCCCCCACTGTACAAGTGAGGAAACTGCGGTGCTGGGAAGATCTGTAACTTACTCAAGCTTACACAGCCAGGCAGGGTGGAGCCAGAACCCGAGTCGAGGCTGTGTGGCTGGATAGAGCTATGCCAGAGCAGGGACAGAGCTGTGTGCGTGAGAACGGCCGCTTGCTTTAGCATCCGTGTCCGCTCACTGAGGACACGGCCATGGTCGCCTGAGCACGCCTCTGCCCTGCAGCATGTCCTTGAACTGCCCATCACCACTCCCCCCTTTGTCTCTCCCCCCGGATCCTACCTGAAGGTCTCCTCCGTGCTGGGAGAAGAACTCAGAGGGGTCTGGGACGTGGCACTTGAGAACTGTCTTCAGCCTGGCCGGGGAAGAGGGAGGGGGGAGGTGAGGGGGGGAGGGCAGGGAGGGGTAGCGTGTCCTCCCTCCAGCTCTCCAGTCCTGAGAGCAGGAGACAGGCCCATCCCACGTCCACTCGCCGGGGAGAACACTGCATCGGGTACTGGGGACACAAGAGTGGACAGCAGAGACAGCCTCTGCTCCCCAGGAGATGACACACTGACAAGATAGACCTAAACCAGATGTCTAACAGGGTCGCTCACCCTGTGGACCCAGAACTGAGTACTCGCCAATAGATGGCTCTCGCGTGGGAGAGACTGCACACACGCCAGAGAGGGAGGCAGGAACCAGGTCTCCTAGTGAACACACCACGGATGGCGGTGCCTGCCGTGCACCGCATAATGGCAGCTGGCCTTCGGGGGACAGTGAATAGAAACTGAATTCCACCTCATGTTCTGCTCGCTAAGCTGCCCAGAACCTGAACGTATCTAACCCTGAGAAAGGGGAGCCAGTTTCTGATTGGCCCACCATTTCCAGTGGAAGCCCGCAAGGGTCAGAATATGTTACTGGTGTGGTGGGAAATCTCTAAGGAGGGTTAGACAGGACTATGGCCCGGTTGGACTCGACGGGAGTGGGCCAAGAGCAACGATCAGCTTCCACCTGATCGACGAGGTGGGACACAGGGACAAGCTAGCTGTTGGGGGAGGGGACAGAGGGAGGCCAGGAGTGAGGGAGCAGGATCCAGCCCAGCCTGGAAAGCTGTGCATGTTGGAGATGGGATAGGAGGGAATCCCGGCAGGAACTTCCTTACCATGGGCCAAGGTACTGGCACTTGACCAAAACGTAGACACACAGCAAGAAGCCAAAAAGACAGCCAAGGATCAGGAGAAGGTGTCTGAGCCACAGCAGGGGTAGGGTCTCCCTCCAGGGACCTGTCCATGGTGCAAGAATTAGAAGGCGAGACGTGACTCACCAGCAGGTCACCTGAAGCCCAAACCCACCCCCCATGTCACACCCTGGCAGGTGTCAGTGTCTGGCCAGGTTGGCTTTTACTGGGGATTTGGCCCTCAGTCCTGCTTAAGCCCACCTGTCCAGAGAGGCAGGCTCTGCTTAGAAGCAGTGGCCCTATGGCATTCCGGGCAGAGCCCATCGCTGTACTAACTGACCCCCTACCTCAGTTACTGAGGCTGCTTCTGATCATCACACCTAGAGCTTCTGTGCCCCTTGAACTCAGCAAGCGACAGGCTGAGGGACAGGCCCTCAAGGGTCCCCCACCAGCATGGCAGCCCCACAGTGTTCAGGATAAGAGGCTGTGTCTACCTTGTTTTTGGCAGAGCACCTGTCCCACATGTAAAGCTGGAGAAAAGTAGCCCTCAGCCCTGAGAGTGGACACTAGACTTCCTACTCCACATAGACCATGGCTGATCCCCTCAGTAGTCCTGTCTCTGATGAGTCTACAGGAGGTGTAGGTAGATGAGGTAAGCAAACCCACTCCTGCAGCTCCCAGAGCACCCTGGTCCCTGCCCAGATCCCTACATGCTGCCCACTGTACCTGCTGGCCTTGTCCGAAAGGCCAGGGGCTGGCTCCAGGGGCTCCAGGTCCTGTGGTCACCTCGTTGGGCCAATACTCGCACCTGGAGCTCATATGAGGTATCAGGAGTGAGCGTCTCCAGGTGAATCCATTGCTGTCGCTGCTTGAGGCTTAGCAGGGGAGCATCCTGAGCAGAGATGGGTGCCCCGTCAGCAAGGACTCCACCGTCCAACTCACCTCCCCCAACCAGGTCAAGAGGCTAAGCAAGCAATCTCTCCCTGACCCTCCCTGTTCCCCCAGCTGCTGGGGTCCTGAATTCCAGGGTCCCCAGGTGTGTTTAGGAATGAGTGTGCGGATGATGAGTCCCAGTTCACCGCCTCCTGAACCCCTGGACCCAGGAAATGTGCTGGATTTGGAGTGTGGAAAAGCAGCTGCTGGGTCTCGCTTAAGCTGGCTTAAGCAGGATGTGGACCCAGATGCGTCCCCAGGCAATAAGGGCAGGGAGGAACAGGCAGCGCCAAGCAATACAGGAGGGCCAGGATGAGGCGGACAAAGGTGTGCATCAGAACAGGAAGGCGCAGCAGAGGCAGGGGACTGGCTGTGTCCTCACCTTCCAGCTGTGGCCCAGGGAACGCATGCGGACCTCGAATTCCAAGTCTTTATCAACGTAGTGAGAGACCTGGGAGACCTCCCAGCTTATGTTGCATCTCTGGGTCTCAATGTGGAGGACTTGGAGTGAATGAGGTGCCATCAGGCGAACTGCAGACAGAGACGAGGGAGCAGATATCAGAGATCAATCAGTAAGTTGCCAAGACTATTCAGCCTGTTTCTCACAACACAGCATCCCCAGTACCAACTCTTCCTCAGCAACGGCCCTGACTCCTCCCCTGCACTTGCTGCACTTTCTCCTCTGCACCTGCTTCTCCTCTGCTCCTACTTCTCTGCACCTGCTTCTCCTCTGCACCTGCTTCTCCTCTGCACCAGCTTCTCCTCTGCAGCTGCTTCTCCTCTGCACCTGCTTCTCCTCCTCTGCACCTGCTTCTCCTCCTCTGCACCTGCTTCTCCTCCTCTGCTCCTGCTTCTCCTCCTCTGCACCTGCTTCTCCTCTGCTCCTGCTTCTCCTCTGCATCTGCTTCTCCTCTGTTCCTGCTTCTCCTCTGCTCCTGCTTCTCCTGTGCACCTGCTTCTCCTCCTCACCTGCTTCTCCTCTGCACCTGCTTCTCCTCTGCTCCTGCTTCTCCTCTGCTCCTGCTTCTCCTCCTCTGCACCTGCTTCTCCTCTGCACCTGCTTCTCCTCTGCTCTTGCTTCTCCTCTGCTCCTGCTTCTCCTCCTCTGCACCTGCTTCTCCTCCTCTGCTCCTGCTTCTCCTCTGCAACAGCTTCTCCTCTACACCTGCTTCTCCCCTGCTCCTGCTTCTCCTCAGTCCTGCACCCCTTCTCGTGTTATTCCCCCTACACCTGGCAGAGTGAACCTAACTGGGATCTTTTTCTCTTGTGCACACCCCCTCCTGGAATGCCTGAGTCGGGGACTGAGATGTCTGCTGAGCTTTTGGTACCTGAGGCACTCTCCAGGATGACTAACCAGCTGAGAGTGATGGGCAAGCAGCCTTGCCCTGCTTGAATACTGATCTGAGAGCTTCAGGGACCAGCTCTTGTACTTTGTTTTATCCAGGTATCTTTATTATTGATGTGTTTGTATTCATATGAATACATTCATATAGTATAAAACATAAATTTAAATAATTATAAACATAACTATAATTACATAGCATTTAATATAAATTTATATTTGTGTATTCCACAAGTTATTATTAAATGTACATATAAATCATAAGCATGTTTATGATTCATTTCTCAATTACACTACATGTACACATTTATTCAATATATTTGTTTATTCATATTTGTGAGAGTGTTTTGGTACAAGCTTGGCAAGTGTTGTAGCCACATGCCCAGCCTGTGTGGATCTTCCCTCAACTAACCTGCTCTAGGTCTGTAACCCTGAGAGTCTGCCCACCCACAAAATGCAAGTTTTTTTTCTATACCTAGATGCTGAGGAGTTTATGCATCCTAGATCATATCCCTCAATTCTCCCCACTTTACAGAGGAGAAAATGAAGGCCCCACCATGTTCAATGGCCTTCCAGCCATCCAGAGTCAAGGCGGGGCTCTGATTTGAACTCTGCCTGGATCTCTCTTCTATCTCTTCTCTCCTCTAGAGGTGGCCTCCAAGGTCACTCAGTCATTCAACAAACCTTCCACAAGCACTGCCTGCTCAGGCCTGGAGTTGAGCGCTCAGAGAGGAGCCGCAGGGCCAGCAGAGACTACCCTCAGGGAGTTCCCAGCCCAACAGCGGAGACAGACCCACAACTAGGTAAGAGCTGAAGGGTGTGTGGGAGTCCTCCGGGCAGGAGTGGGGGTGGGGAGGAGAGGAGAGGGTTGGTAGCAGAGCTTTTCAGGTGGGCTCTGGGACTGGTTTGAGAAGGGCTCAGAGATTGATGACTGCCGGGCAAGATGGGACCCACAAACCCAGGCTCCACACTCACGGTTCTCAAAGGGATGAAAGTTGCAGGTCCTCACTCTGCGCCAGCCCTTCCCTTCCTGGCACTCCATGGTCATGTTGAAGAAGTCTACAGAGTTCAGTGGCTGGGACTGTGAGGGAGGAAAGGCCTTTGAGAAGGGGCCATTAAAGTGTCAAGGCAAGGACATGCCTTGCCTCTCCCAGTCTCCCAGGGGAAGCAAACACTGCAGCCAGCCAGGCTGTGAAGAGTTTTAGCTGCACAGGCCACATAGTCTCAGTCACAACTCAACTCTGCTATTGTCCTAAAAGAACTACAGGCAGGAAATGAACCAACATCAGGGCCACATTCCAATAAAACTTTATTTACAAACACGGGCAGCCGCTGGGCTTGGCACACGGAGTATAATCATTCCCTAATCCCTGATATAAATAGAAGTAGGCCACCAGAGTTGAGTGAAAGTTGCCCATCATGAGAGGTATGCAAATAGCTAAGTGGGTCATCCACAGAGAAGGCAGAACTGGACCTATTGAATAGCCTTACCCCCTGACTCTTCCAGAAGGAAATGGCTAGATACTAAGTGTATCCCAGGCAGCCATTGCTCACGTCTTTCAGATGAACACAGTGGTCCCTCCCCATGCTACTTTAGAACCTGGGGTTAGGGATGCTCAGACCACTCAGCTTCACATCAAGAAGTGGGTTCATATGAGGCCCAACTCTAGCACACAACTCTCTCCAACAGTCTGGTATGATTGTCATTGTTACTGGGACAAAAAAAAATGTCCCATAGCAGAGAGTGGGGGACCAAGCATCTGTGCAGGGGCAGCAAGGGTGCAGGACCAATACCCCACCTCCTGTCTTCCCAGCGCAGGCAGCCTGCTCTACTGCTCTACGTCACCAGGCTGATGCTTGCAGGACTCCAGGACCACCCTGAAACCTCAGCCCACAGCTGGAAGGAACATACACATGCGTGTGTGAGCGCGTGCGCGAGCGAGCACGCACACACACACACACACACACACACACACACACACACACTACTTACATCTGGAGGCCCAAGGATCAGGTTGCAAGCCCAGGATGCCTGCTTCACAAGAAATAGATCACAGGTTTTGTTCCAAGTCCTTGCAGAACAGAAAAGACACCTTAGAAAGTAAGGCCGGACTAAAGAGCTACCCAGAGACCCTTCTCAGTGCTCCCGGCGCTAGGGACAGCAGCACAGTGGGCAAGGAGCCAGATGCCTCCCTCTTCCCCTCTAGAATACCTTTCATGCCCTCGCCACCCCAGCCCCCATCTTGGCCTCTCAGCAGCCGGGGTAACCAAGGAGCACAAATCATTTCAGGCCTCACCCTCACTCCAGAGCCCCCAAGTTCCATGCAGCCTAAAGAAGTCTGTGGCTTGTCAGATACTTTCTGTCCCCACAGGACAGCATCACCCCAGGCAATGGTCTCTGGCCCCACAACTGCCTGAGGTTTTTCCCAAAATACCAGATTAGAAATCACTGAGTACCCACCCCGCTTGCCTCTGACATGCCCTGGCACCAAAGGCTCACAGGGACTGTCCGCAAACTACCTGGTCCAGGACCTCTGCAGTTCTCAGCTAGAGCCTGGATCCCACCCACTTTCAGGAGCCCAAACGACCGAGTGGCCGAGCCTGGGCTAACTACTATGAATCTCGGGGTCAGGACATCTTAGAGTTCCCACAGCCCTGAGGTTCTGCTCTGTGACCAGGCCACACTCACCGGATGTTTGACTTGACTTGGATGTGGCAAGACATGCCCTGAATGGCCTCTTCTGGGCTCCACATGCAGGAGACATTGGCTCTCGAGTTGTAGAAGCATTTGAGATGGGGACAGTCTGTGGGCAAGTGAGGGTATGAGTGACTGGCTGCAGGGCACACATTGCCTCTGGGTATGTCTGCTACCCTGCTCCCAGCACCCGATGCCTGCCAGAGGAGGCAGGAGACTCAGAAAAGCAAAGAAGGGACTAAACTCATTTCATTGCTGCTTCTGTGTGTGCTCACACGCGCCCGTGCATGTGCCTGTGTGCGTGCGTGCGTGCGTGCCTGGATTTTTGATAGGGTCTTTCACTGAGACCCTGGCTTGACAATCCAGGTAGACTGGCTGGCTGGTGAGCAAGTCCCAGGGATTCTCCTGTCTCTACCTCATCACTGGGGCTGCAAGTATTTACCACCATGCCCTGTTTTCTTCTTCATAATGTGTGTGCACAGGTACACAGGTGTACTCGGCACAGATGCCATGGCGTGTGTGTAGAGACCTGAGGACAACTTATTGGAATTGACTGTACCCTTCTTCCATGGATCTGGGAGATTGGACTCAGACTGCGAGGTTTGTGGGGCAAGCACCGCCCACTGTGCCACCTTGCCAGCCCTTTCCTGAACAGTTTCTACGTGAGTGTTGCAAAGGTGGACTCAAGTTCTCACGCTTGCACGACAGGTGCTTTACCTGCTGAGCCTCTTGTCAACACCCCCCCATTCAGACCCACTTCAAAGGAAGGAAACTGAGCTCCAGAGATAGAAGGGACCCATGACCTATCCATGGCCAAACAGGGACAATCAGCAGCCTGTCCTCCCCCGCCTCCTGCTGGGATGTGGCCTCCCAGGGAAAGCGCAGACATGGAAATGCTGGGTTCTCACCGTTAGCTGCTGCAGACACCCAAGGTGTAGCCAAGGGCAGGAGGAGGATGTAGAGGGACAGGCGCTGGGGCAGAGCTGTGGCAGCCATCACATCCACGCTGCAGAGCTGAGGACAGAAGCCCTAGCGGAAGAGACCAGAGATCCGAGTGAGAACGAGTCGGGGCCCACAACCCGCTTGGCTCTCCACCCAGCCAGATCCAGTGCAGCCCAGCCCCAGGACGCTGTCCCACAGGAGCCCACTCCCTTCCTTCCCAGTCCTAATCATGTGTCACCCCCTTGCCATCCTTCACTCCATGCTGCACCAGTATTGTCTGCTTGTGTACAACAGTAAGTAAATCTGTCCCCTAGAGGACATGCTCTAAAACCTCCCAGCATGCCTAAGACACGGGACCAAAGCAATCCTTACACATACTATGCTTTTTCTGTAAGTTACAAGCCCATCATGAGACATCGATGGCAGGGTTAGAGATACAGGAAGATTCCTAGGGACAGCCCCCGGCTCTCCCGAGCATGGTGGTTTCTCCCACTCAGAATAATTCCAGCAGGTGCCCGCCCTGTGTAACCAGGTGAGGTGAGGTGCAGGGCACTCATCGGAGCACTGTGAGCCCTGCAGGGGTGATTGGACAACGCAGCCCTCTAGGTGACGATGAATGTGAATCTATATGATGGATATTCCGGGCAAAGGAACCACTCAGGTCCCGTGCAGGATAGAGGATAGCTCAAGGCTCTAGCTCATGGCTTAGAACAGTGTTCAATGTAAGATGCATGAATTGCTTAGTTCTGGAATTCTCTGTTTAATATTTTCCAACCATGGTTGGTGGAGGTAACCAAAACCATAGACACTTCAGTAGAAAACAAGGTGAATACCATGTTTATCCATTTGTTTTCATGCTCACACACACACACACACACACATTTACATACCCATGCACACACAGACAGTCCATGAGGACAAGGCACATTTGTATTTCATTCACCCCTGAGTCTGACTACCAATGTAGTGCCTATCACATTGCAGACAGCAGCTGCCAGGCACGGGGTTCCAGAGGTCCCTGGATGCTCTGCCCTGGGTGCTGGTCTTTCAAGGAGTGAACCCAAACAATGGGATGAAAGCTGAAAGGTAGGCTCAGAGGGGGTTACACATGGCCACCAAGAGCCACCACTTTGACCCTGAAGAGCCTGCAGAGCAAGGCTGTGCCCTGTCCTAGGTAGCTCTTGCAGCCTCCCCAAGCTGGGGGCTCTGGTCTGGTCCTCTAAGAGCCTCTCTGGAGTTGTCCTTTCCCCAGTCCCCAAGGCTCCTGCTGTCCTCTGAGGCCCATTTCCAAGCCCCCTTTCTCCTAGTTCTGTGATGCTCACCCTGGCCCCCCCATGAAGGAAGGATGTCCTGACCTGAGTTGCTGTCCATCCCTCCGGCACGACAGTTGCCAGCCTGACAAGGTAGAGTGCCCACTCCTAATTTCTGAGCTTGTTACACAGGGGGTGCCCATAAATGTCACGCATTGAAGGAATCACAGGTGGTCGGGGATCTGTAGGGCAGCGAGTGATGGCCTTGTGACATTGCTTTCCAGGTAGGTTCAAAGAGCTCTGCTTAGGCCAATGCCGAGGCCGTTAGATTTCCAGCCACTCCCTTCTGCCTGGAAGCTCAGCAGCTGTTCTGTGTCCTTGCTTCACAGACAAGGAGACCAAGGCTCCCAGGGTCAAGTCTACAGAGCTGGGGTTCCACCTAGGACCTCCCTGTCTTGAAGGATCAACTCCCTGTGGGTGATAGGGCAAGAAGGTAACCCTTATGGGTCCCTGAAGAGCCTAAACAAGGGTCCCCCACAGCCCCTTAGGGGCCCAACAAGAGATAAAGTACTGTTAGTTTTGATGAGGGAGTCACCCAGGTTAGACCCAGACATTTGAACAGCCTCAAGCTGGAAGAGACCTGTGACATTAGCCCTGGGGAAAGGAAGAGGGAGGAAAAAGGGGAAAAATCACAGGCAAGCCGGGGCCAGACCACAGGCGCCAGCCCAAAGCACAACAGAGTAGGAAAAATCAGTCAGTCTGCTCCCCAGCCCTGGGTGGAGACGTACAGGGGCATCCACCTATCACGGACAGTGTTAGATAGAAGAACATATGGAAGGTTCTGGAAGGTTCTGGCTGGGGCAAGACAGAAATGGAGTCTCTGGGAGACTAAGGCAGCCACTCGAAACCACATAACATGAAGCCAGCCTAGGGTAGAGCAGGCGCAGCTCGAGGTCTCAGCGTCCCAGGCACTGTCCCCCCCAAGGCTCGCCCACGCATGCCCTTCACAACCACCAGACGCTCCCACCCCTGACTCATATGTCTCCACTGAGGCCTCCACAGGGGCCTGTCACCCCACAGGCTGTTCTAACTGGGTCACCTGATTTCCAGTACAGTGACGATGGTGACAGAGATGGGTCAGTAGTGACTAGCAGCCATGATCCCTGGCCTGGACTGACCCACACGTGTCAGGGCACGGTCTCACAGAACAAGAGCAGGCTCTGGGGCGGCTCTTTCTATATGGGCGCAAAGCAGCCTGTTTCTCGGGATAGAAGGAGCAAGTCTCAGCCTGGAGCAGACTGAGGCTCCCCCACAGGTCTATCCAGGGTCAGCTGAGGGAGGGTGACAAGCAGGAGATTGTCTAGCTGACCTGCTTCTGACCTTTGACTTCAGATGTCCCTTCTCTGCCCACCAAAGACATGCACGCACACACACACACACACACACACACACACACACACACACACACGCATCTTTACTGCTCAACTGAGGACATCTCCTGGAAGAATGTATGAAAAGAAGTGTAGCTCTTCCCTCCTCAGCCACCCCCCCTCCGGGCCCTGAAGTGTTAGAAACACAGCTAATAGTGGGAAGCGCCTACCTCAGGTAGCCTCAGAGATGGAGCCCAGTGCCCAAAGACACTCCTGCCTTCTCTAACCACTCAGGGAACCAAGAGATACATCTAAGCTAGGGCCCTGACTCTGGCCTTCAGTTTAGGGCCCTCAGATACCTGTGGGTCAGCATAGCCAGCTGCCTTCCCTCTCTCCCTCCCTAGCTGCCTAAAGAGCCTTCCCTCAGGCTCCCACCCACAGGAAGCAGCAGTGGATCCCACTTTCCCCAAACACACTATGCTGCCCATGAGTCTAAATACCCACCTCCTCCTCTGCCCCTCTGGGCTAAGACGGCGCCATGCGGGAAGGGCCTCATGGCAAAGTGGCTCACAGCCCCCCACAGCGTGAGCTGTGAAGAAGCTCCTGTGGCCTGGCATTGGAAGGGGCTTATCCTTAAAGGAGAAACCCTGACAGCCAAGCTGCCAGATCCCCAGGGGATCCCAAGACAAGGTTGAGCATCAAAGCCCAGACAGAAACTACACTGGGGACTGAATCAGAGATGAGTGTCTTCCCAGGCCCCTGTCCCCTGGGAAGACCAGCAAGAGGTGGTGGGGCACCCTGGGCTCCCGGGGGACCACACAGAGACATCACCTGGCTGCGACATGGAGTTGAGGTGGTAAGCTCCCTGCAGGCTGCCTGGAGACTGGGTCCACGGCCATCTCCTGCTCCGCAGCTTAGATAGCAGACAGCAGCTAGGCCAGCAGCAGACTGAAACCCAGGGCGAGCCCACTTCCTGTACGGAGGATGAGGGGCAAGGCCCAATGGGAGGTGGAGAGGTGCGGGGGGGGGGGTGATGAGGTAGCCTGAAACTCCACGCACACACCTAGCGCTGATAAGATCTCCTCCTACGCCCAGGGGCAGCCACCACATGTGGTAGCACACTCTCACACAGTAGCTGTGGCACAGGGACCTAGCTACACACAGAACCCGAGGGGACAGACACTTCTTTGCCCACACCACTCACCCCCCCACTGCATCTCACACCCAAGCCACCCAAGCCTTGTCGTCTTTTGCTCTCTCCTCACACACACACACACCCCTAACACCCAAGCCACCCACAAACACATCCCTCGAAGTGTCCCCTTAACTGGTTCCCGTCCTAGGCCCGGCTACATGGCTATCTCCCATTGAACCTTGTCTACCTCGGCCCTCTGAGGTCCCCTTTGCTCAGGCTGGCATTCAGGGGTGGCTGGTTTTCAGGGTTTGACAAGCAATTTGATGGGCCACCGATTGGACCTTCTAGAACCTTCTTTCAAAGTCATAGGTTCTATTCTTGCTCACTTGGTGAGATGGAAGGTAGGATTCAGCTTGCGTCTTTATTCTTAATGATAAGAACCCATGAATTTCTCCTTAAATGGATGACTATTTACATGTAGTAACCTGGGACCATGGCCTAGCTTCTTTCTCCCTGCATCCTGGCTTCAGTGCCCTGCTTGGGGGGAAATGCAACAAGCTGCTGCTTCTTAGCAAAAGAAGGGACGCGCTGCAGAATTCTGTTCCCTGGACGCAGCAGGCATTGGCATCTTCACCAGGCCAGCTGTGACTTCCACAAGAGGTCCTCAGGATCAGAGCTGCTGACATACATCCCCACACAGAAGGGGGGAAAGTGTCATCAGACCCTCCCTTGAGGTCCCGCCTCCCCCACCCCAGCTATAGGTAACTGAATGCAGGGATGCTACATGCTATAAAATGTAGAAAGTTAATTGAAGAAGGGGCTCCGTCTACAGCTTTGGGGAGATTATCATGCATGCTTGGGTGTGACTTCCCAGTGATACAGTTGCTTTGGGATCTCCCATGCTCCATAAATAAGTCCAATAAACTCACTAATTCACCATCCTGGACATCAGTGGAACTGTTCCTTTGGTCTGTCCTTGGTGCCTGTCTGGGGTATGGGGAGCAGGTTTTTGTTTGCATCTACCCCGGAAAAATGTTCATGCAACAGGAGGGAGGGAGTGGGTAGGAGAATTTGCAAGGACAGCCCAGCAGATGGTTCCTCCCACAGATGGCCAGACAGTGAAATCAAAGACCCTGAAAAGAAAATCAAGTACAAGGCCCTTTCCATGGAGCCCAGAACTGACCCAGAGAAGGAGACATGTGGGGTAGCATTGCTGGAGAGAGCCACCCAGGCTGTGTGGCCTGTGGCTGTGTTTGAGCTTCAGTTCCCATATCTGTGAAATGAGATTGCTGTTTTAGTTCCACAGCGGTGACAAAAACCCCTGGGCAAAATCAACCTAACGGAGGAAAGATTTCTTTTGGCTCTCAGGTTCCGTTCTTGGTCGGTTGGTCTGTCACAGTGGAGCATCACGGTGGAAGGGCGGAGGGAAGCTGATCCAACTTGTCAGCCAGGAAGAAGGGGAGGGAGGGACAAGGACCTCTGGAGACAGGACACATCTGCCCAAGAGATGCTCCCAGGGACCTGCTTCCTCCAACGGCTTCCCGCCCCCAGCAGCCCATCCAGCTATGACTTCACCCACGGAACAGCCCACAGACTGCATCTCCTGATCACATGTCTTCCTAATAGCAGCATCAGGGTACCAGGCTCTTCGCAAGAGCTTTCTGGGGGCACCTCTCAGCCAAACTGTAATAGAGTTTTCTCTGTTTCTGCCTGTGCGTGTGGTGAGGGCTGACACACAGGAACGCACCCGGGGCCTACATGAAGGAGCCGAGTAAAGTTAGTTCTCTCCGATGGGTGTGAATGCACTCCAAATGCTCATAAACTAGAAGTTCACACCCCAAATTCTTACGTTGATCATCTGTGGAGGCAGAAACTTCGGAGGCCGTAGGGTGGGGTCATGAAGGTGGCTCCGTACGATGGCCAGAGTGACTTGATGTGGAAGAGAGACGGGAGCCAACGTGCTGCTCTGTTCAGTCATGTGATGTCTTTTGTTGCCGTGGTGCAGCACGAAGGGTTTACCCGCTGCCGCTGTCACGCTCCTGAATGCCCACAGCTATGAGCCCAACAAGCACTGATTCTCTGTCCTGATTGAGTTACAGTCACAGAAAATGGCTGAGGAGTCTCTCTCACCCCACCTCCCTCCTCCCCTGCAAGTTCTTCTGGGCAGAACAGAGTAGAAAAACAGGGAAACTGACAGCCAGGGTTCCTAAGCGTAGAATACTTCCGGAAGCTTCTTGGGAAGCCGTTATCACTTCGCTTTGCTTGCTCCTCCCTCCAGATAAATATGACCAGTTAGGAAAATTTAAAGCACATATAAAGTCAAAAGAAATAACTATCCTCGGGCAAAAATCAGAAACCACAGGCCCAGTTTTGAATGACCCCGTGTCATCATAGCTTTACCTATGGTAATGACACTGGCTGGCCTAGCTGGTACTGTCCAGGCCTCTTCCTTCTCCTCCATCTTCCCCTCACCCCTCCCTTCAGTCAGCAAACACTCACTAAGCATCCAAAATGCCTCAAAGTGCCTGGCAAGCCAGGCCAGGTCTGAGGCAACCACACCCTCTTACTCAGAGCCTCCGACCTGTGAGACGCAGGAAGGGCATGTAGAGGTATGAGGGAAAAGGTGGGCTCATGCTCCCAGACCCCGTGGGGTATCCTCCCCAGCATGTGATAGACGCCATTTCCCAGGCACCCTGTGGGGAAGTGGAGCCTAGGGCCCCATGTTGCCAGTGGGGTGGGAGATGGGTGGTTTAGTCTATATCCAGGCCCTAAAAACCCCACTCTTAACCCATCCATTTCCTTTTCTATCCCCCCTTTCCTCTCTCTCCAACCTCCCCCCTTCCCCTCCCTCCTTCCCTCCCTCTCTCTCCCCATCTCTCAACTCCCTTTTCCTTGCGGAGATTTCTGGTCTGTAAGGCAAGTGAGGCACGAATTTCACCCTCGTCTGTGCTGCTACCCAGGGCACTAGCCCTAGCAGGCTCCAAAGGCCTAGCCAGGCACCACCCAGGCGCAGGGCAATGTGCCTGCTCTCCTGCCATCCCTGAGGCCACAGGAGCTTCCGGCCCAGCCTCGGTTTCCTTTTCAGTAGCCGGAGCGTGTAACCATAATGATCTTTCTTCAGCCCTAATCAGATCCTCTCGTCCCTTTCTCCCCAGAGTTTCCAGAATATTTGTCACACAGGCCAAGCCAAGCTTGAAAGCTTAGCCTGAAAGCCCACAGGAGTCACCAAGCCTTCCAGTCTCAAGGACCTACCCACCCCAGCCTCCTCCAGATCCCCCTACTGGTATCAGCTGGCCATCCTGTCCAAGTTTTGGGGCTTTCAAGTTCAGGGCCCTGGCATGCCACCTTACAGGGAGGACTCCAGTAGTCACAGACAAACCTAGCAGAAGACAGTGGAGTCCCTTAGGCCCCTGGCCTGTTGTCCTGGAGACACCAGCATTTCCCACATGGTGTCGTGAAGAATCTGGAAGCTTCTCAGATGCCAGAGGCCTCCTAGTACCCACCTAGTCACCCCAGATCTCTTGCTGGGCGTGGCTGTGTTTGGACAAGTCCCCTTCATGGCTATAATTCCTCCCAGCATCCATGCCCTGGTTCCCACAGGTACTGCTCCTGGGCCCTTCCCACTCCAGTGTCCTTCTGCATCCTCACGGGGTTGCGCTGAACAAACTTACCTGCATCCTCCACGTCAGCAGACACAGCTCACAGCTCACCCCAGCTCACAGCTCACCCACTAGTACAGCCAGCCCCACCCAAGGGCCCCATTTCCACGGGGCTTCGAGATGTCTGCATTTGGGTTTCCTGGCCCCGCTGTCCCTTCTCAGCTATGACTTTCTCCCTTGCTGACCATAGTGTTGCTCCTGTTGGAGACCAAGCCAGACTGTACCCCTCAGCTACTCCTCTCCTCTGCACCCTGGAAACTAGGTTTGTGACTCTGTAGTGGGTAGTTTTGTGTCAACTTGACACAAGCTGAAGTCATGTGAGGGGAGGGAGTCTCAATTGAGAAAACGCCTTCATGAGATCGGGTTGTAGGCAAGCCTGTAGCGCATTCTTTCTAATTAGTGGTTGGTGGGGAAGGACCCAGTCCATTGTGGAAGGTACCATCCCTAGGCTGGTGGTCCTGCATTCTATAAGAAAGTAGGCTGAGCAAGTCAATGGGGAGCAAGCCTGTAAACATGGCCTCTGCATCATCCCCTGGTAATCCATCAGAGACACAGAAACCCTGATTAAGACAGGTTCCAATAGCTTCTGGGGGTCATCAGGGTCCCCAAGTTTCTGTACTAGCTCCTCCCCACAGGCCCCACCCCCTGCATCAGTACCACACCCACTCCTACATCTCATCGTCACTGTGCCGTTCCAGGCCAGACCCCACCAGCTGCCTCCCACCCCTTTTCACCAGCAGCAGTGTCTCAGTTCAGCTGCATTTCGTCAACAGGAAAGAGAAAACGGAGGCTTAAAATAAGACAGGACTGATTTCCCCCCACATTCGGAAAAAGAGGTCCAGAGGTGGCAGTCCAGGCTGGCTTTGCAAGGTCAGAACCAAGCCAAGGTGGTCTTCTTCCTGGGACATCCTCAACAGCCACTCTGCTGCTTCCTCACAGACCAAAAGAGCTGCTCAGTGCCACCCATCACACCCTCATTCCTGCAGCAAAGTGCATGTCTCTAGCTGTTTAGGACCCCTCCTTAAATCATCTGACTATTTCTTTTCCCATTTGGTGTGTGCACATGTATGGTATATGAGTGTGCATGCGCATATGTGGAGTACACATGCAGAGGCCAGAGAAAAATGTAAGGTTCCCTACCCATC